GATTAAAAATAAATAAATAAAATAAAATATAGCTGTGGGGAAAAAAAAGAAAATTATCTTCCAGGATCCTGCACAAATGGACATGGCCTGACTTCCAGCGTTCTGGGACACATAGTGATAAAGGGTTATGGGAGCCAATGTAAATATTCACTCACACTCTCTGCCGCCAGCCCCATTCCCTTATTTGCTCCATCTGCTCATCCTTGGACTCCTGTTTCAGAATGACACACTTTCTTCCAACTGGGATTTGTGCTTCCTGGTGCACACTTACATTTATAAGAATAGTTTTTATAATCTTTAAAGAACATAATCTATTTTGTGCATTAATGACACATGTCTGACAATAATGAAGGCCCAGGGGCGAGAGTCACTTGGACTGGGACCATCAAAGCTCTGCATTAGTTTGGCTGGGCCGTGATTCTCAGTGTTTTGGCACCTGTGTAGTGAATTGCTTTGGCAGTTTTGTGATGATGCCCTTCGGCAGTTATGTAAGATTTAGTCATCCTCCTCTCTGTAATCGGATGTGGTGCCTCCATTTTTGTATAACTTTGGATTTTGCAGAAGTACCTGGAGTGGGTATCAAACAAATGTCCAGAACGCTCATACCTACTACCAGTGCCACTACCCGCCCTGCATCAGGATGGAGAAGCAGCTCCAAGAGTTTGGCATCTGTGGGCGGTGCCAAGTGGCCTGCTACTGTGGCCCCCAGAAGACCCTGCCTGCCCACAGAAGCACAGCCCGGAGAAGAAGTGCCCTGCCAGCAGGAGCTGGAGACTGACCGGGTGGCGCAGGCCCTGCCACAGCTGGCCCCACGTGGGCGCAGTGGACACACTGGTGACTGGACCAGGAGGTGCGCGCAGCCAGGTGCAACGCCCATGGCAGCCAGGTGCAACGCCCATGGCCACAGAAACCTCGTGCAGACACTTCCAGCGCTGGTCAGATGGAGCCACCATATGTTCATATGTTTGTAAACTCATGTACAGTTTGAAGGGGGTGGGAGGGAGAGGTGGTGGTGGGGTTAAGATTGACACACTAATGGCTTGCTAGCAGCTCTATGGGTGGGTTTGTTGGGCCATTTGATGGGTGAGCCTCAATGTTAGAATCCTTGTCTTTAACAATCAGGCTGGTTAGATTCCTCAGAAAATTATCTTCCAGGTCTGGCTAGACCAGAGGATGTACACTGGTACAGATAGGAACTGGAAATCCAGGGAATCCAGGGCGGATGAGCCCTACAGGACCAGTGGTGTGAGTGGTGATACTGGGAGGGTAGAGGGAACGGTATTGGAAAGAGGGGAAAAAAAAGAAAAGAAAAAGAAATATCAAAAGACTAGAGAATTATTGGAACCCTTGAAGTTTCATGTAGACTTTAGTCAGCAACAAACATTCATTTTATTTTGTTGGCTTTTGTTTCCTCGTTTTAAAAAGAGAGATTTTGAACCCTTGACCTAGAAGAGAGTATTTCAAATACCTTTGGAAAACTGCCCGGGTCTTGCCGTAAATTCTGAGGAAGAATAAACTAGGGTTGGTTTGAACCAGTTTTCATGTCTGTAAGCAGTTGCCTTTGATCTATCCCAATTTATAGCCACCCCACATGCTTAGAATACAATGATGGCAAATACTTTTGCAGGGACTGCTTTTTCAGAAGCGACCACTAGTCTGTTCTTCAGAGGCATCTCTAGGTAGACTTGAACTCCCAACTGTTTGGTTAGAGCAAGCCAAACACACTTCTAGAAGTGGCCAGTGGGAGGATATACCAGGAGAGTACGGAACCACCATGGGAGTGGCTGAGGGAGCGTCCTAGTAACCACCAGTGGTGAATAATTGTACATTCTGGTGCAGACTGAGGATCTTGCTGTGTTCCTTCACCTGGGGAGCACATTTTACTTTCTTGCTTTAATAATTGGCTTCCTGAAGTTTTGGTTTTCTTTGTCATTAAAATAGCACCCTTTTAATGCTAATATTATCATTACCATGTAAATGGGACAGAAACTAAACTAATTACAGAAGACACATAATTGACTTGACTACATTAAACTAAGAACTTTTGTTCATCTAGAGGTACCACTTTTTCTGGTTTACTTTGTTGTTAGTTTTTGTCTTTTTCTTTTGCTATGTTTTTCTATATATGAAATTCAGGATAGTAAATCTATAGCGACAGTAACTGGTTTAATGGTTCCTTGTGGGTATGGCAAGGGAGGCTATGGGAAAATGGGGAGCTAAAAACAGTGAGTACAGGAAAAGAAAATGTTCTAAAATTGATTGTGGTGATGATTGTACAACTTGCTAAAACACAACTGAACTAATGAGTTAGTTGTATGATAAGTGAATTCGGAGCCAATAGCATGTAACACCATATCATTAGATCTCCCTTTGACCTACTATAAAAGTTGTTTGAGTTTTTAATATTTTCTACTTTCTTTTTGATGTCATGTCTAGTCATTGTTGTTATTTTCTCTGTATTTGCTTGCTCCCTGTATGTGCTTTGTATGATTTTCTGTATACAAACCCCTGAATCAGTAAATCTATAGAGATAGTAATTGGATGAAAATTCCCTAGGGACATGGCAGGGGAGAAGGGGGGAACGTGGGAAGCTAACAACAACGAGTATGAGAAGAAAGTTTTCTGAAATTGATTGTGGTGATGATTGCACAACTCTTCTTAATATGACAGAGTGATGCAATTGTATGATATGTGAAGTGTATGTCAATAAAGCTTTTTTTTTTTAAAGAATCATCTAGATCAGATCATATTGACAGGAGTAAAGCATAGTGTGGTTCATTGGCTGTGAGTCTGAGCCAATGGTAGTTAGACCAGGTATCTGGATAGATAGCAAAAATTATGATACAATATGAAGAATGTATCTAGTGCCAATGTATTGAACATCAACTCTGGTGTGTATTTTTTACAAAAATAATTTTTCAGAAGTTTTATTTGCATGTAATTTACATATCATATAATTCAATAGTTCAATCATAATATGGAGAATTGTACAATTATCCCCACATCAATTGTAGACCATTTCCTCTCCCCATTGGTCAACTCACCTTTAAGATGATTCGTGCATCACAATCCGTTCTAGTTTCCCCTCCCCACTCCCATCTTCCTTAGTTACTCCCCAAATCCCCTTACCCTCCATATCTCCTGCTCCCCGTATGTTTCCCATATCCCCCTTGAATCCGTTCTTATCATATGCATACACTCCTCTTGTGCTTCCCAGCTGGGAGACCCAAGAGAAAACAATGGACAACAAAATGGCATTAAGGTGGTAAGGAAAAATGTAATAGTATACAAACCAACATACCAATAATACGTAAGATGGGAAAGACCCCCAACCACAATAAAAAAAGTCAGGGAAGAAATGTATGTTGTGGAACCAGTAAGAGATACTTGACCCAGAACAAATTTAGGTCACATTTATAGGGTGGTCAACTGGTCAAGTGTTGAGTTTGATCCAACAAAAATAAAATACTTAATTTTTTTTTTTAGAAAAGTCATTATTTTTTATTATTATTATCAATGCTCACTACCATCGAGTCAATGCCAACTCACAGCGACCATTATAGGATGGGGTAAAACTTCATCCTGAGACTGTAACTCTTTTATTTTTAAATCATTTTATCGGGGGCTCGTATAACTCTTATAACAATCCATCCATCCATCCATTGTGTCAAGCACATTTGTACATTTGTTGCCCTCATCAATCTCAAAACATTTTTTCTTAGATTAGAATTTTACTTTTTCATTGTAAATTGGGTGAAAGCTTATCAAGCAGAACATTAGTTTTACATGCAGCAATTTGTGCACGTTTTGTTTCAACTTATTTACTGGAATCCGCTCAGTGTACTATTACTTATCTGCTTTCTCCCCGTGTTTTCTGCTTCCATCCCTCCTTCTTTTCTAACTGAACTTTGGGTAAATGCAGCCGCTCTGATCTTGAATTCTACCACGGGGGTGAATTCCATTCTAGACTCAAAGGGCATCAAAGCAGCATAGTCTTCTGGGAGGGGGGGGGCGGTGTCCCACTTTTCTCTCTCTGACCAATAGACTAGTCTATTTTATGATTTGGGGTTTTGTCCCACATTTTTTGCCCCTTCTATCCGGGACCTTCTTCTGTAATTCTTTTCAGAACAGTTAGTGGTAACAGGGCACCATCTAATTTTTCTGGTCTCAGGGTTGTGGAGCTGTTCTTCGCATGGTCCATTGGTCTGTTGGACTGTTAACATGTATTTTGATTGTCACCAATTTCTTTCACTCCAGATCGGGAGAAGACCAAGAGTTGCACCTTAGACAGCTGCTTATGAGATTGTAAAACCTCCTCACTACTTACCAACATAGGATGCAGAACATTGTCTTTGTGAACTAGGAAATATCAGTTGACTTTGGGGACACATGAAACTACGGTCCTGGATCCCCAGGCCCACTGAAACATCCCCTTAAGATGTTGGCCATGACTAAGAAGTTTTTATAACTTTGCTTCTACGTAAGTGGTCCAACACATTCATGAATAAGTTGGTATCAAAAATAAATACACATATACAGATATCCTTTATCAGATCTCAATAAATTCGTGGATATACTTCTAGTTTTCCTCAGACCCTTGTTCATCCTGACTGTCTATCCAAGTATCTATTGTAAATCACCACAATCGTAGGATTGTGTATAGAACAGTATTTGCCTTTAACTATTGCAAATGTGCCACTGCCATATTGTGCCTCTATCACTTTGGCCACCTTCTGTCCTACTGTGTATTGCCTTCCCCTTCACCCAAGTTACCACTTGCCTACCTTCTAGCCGGTGACTTTCCCTCCCTTCCTTCCTCTCTCATTCCTTCTAACCAACAAAAATGCTTCTTTAGAGTGAAAACATTTTTATACTGTTTATACTAGTAGTTTCCTACAATGTTTGTTCTTATCTGACTAATTTCACTCAGCGTAATGTTCATCCATGCTATGAGGAGTTCTGCTGATTCATCGTTATTCTTTTTTCTTTCTTTCATCGTTACTCTGTAACATTGAGTATTGTTCTATCATGTGTATGCGCACCAACATTTATTTATCCACTCTTCCACTGATGGATATTTGGGTGGTTTCCACCTTTTTGCAGCGGAGAGTAGTGCTGCAGTGCACACTGGTGTGCATATGTCTATTTGTGTCCCAGCTCTTATTTCTCTAGAATCTATATCAAGTAGAGGGATCACTGGTCCTCTGGTATTTGTACTCCCAAATGGGGAGGCTCCATAACACTTCCCACATAGTTGCACTATTTTACAATCACACTAGCGATGCATGAGGGTTTCAGGTTCTCCATACCCTCATTAGTATTGTTGTTTCTGTTGCTACTGTTGCTGTTGTTTGCCTGCTATTAATGCTGTGGTGGGTGATATCTCTCTGTTGTTTTGATTTGAATCTCTCAAATAACTAAGAACACAAGCATTTCTCCATATGTTTGTTGGAGACCTGAAAGTCTTCTCTGTGAAGTGTCTATTCATGTCCTCTGTCCATTTGAAAAATTAGATCATTTGCCTTTTTCTTGTTGAGATATTTTCTTGTTGAGATAATGATATTCTATACATTTAGAGATCAGTCCCTTGTTGGGTATGTCATAACCAAAAAATTATTCCCCATATGTGGATTCTCTTTTGATGTGTGTGAGTGGGTAATTTTTAGAAAGTTTCAGTGATCTAGTTTGTCTACAGTTATTTGTGTATTTTCAGTCATGTTTGAGTCTGTTTTTGTCTT